TTTTTTTAATATTTGTTTTGGGTATATAATCTAGACAATTTCGTTTACTTTTTTTTTCTTTTAGTTTGTTATGTTTTTATCACTTTTGTTATTAAATCTCCCACATTGTGATGACAGAAAATCTGCCAAGAATGGTGAAACCTAAGAACCTGGATACAAATTTACTAAGGATAATGCAGCAATTAAGGCACTTTCTAAATATTTTCGCCTTAGTTAATTTTTTCTCTTTTAATTAGAGTGGCATTCTTAAACTCCAAATTGTGGTCAGTCACATTATAGTGAGCAACTAATGTATTTAACATGTTGTTTTGTAAAAGATCCCTTTTGTGTTCATATAATGTTTTAAATTCCTTGAGGTTTCTCCGATGTATTTCTTATGACAATTATTACAGGTAATAGAGTAAAATTCCTCTTTCCAGTTTTAGCTTATTGTTTTGTTTACTATTAATTCTTTTACTGCTTTAGACATAACTGTGACAAATTTTATGTTGAGTTTAGGCAATTTCTTTTCAATTGTAGTTGTGATAGAGTTGGTGGATAGAATAATATATTTTGATTCATTGGGTTTGTCAGAAAGGGCACATTAAAACACATAAAAAAAAAATTTAATTTAAAATTCTCAGCATCTCTCTTTCATTCACAAGCATGCATAGTTGCATCAACAGAAACATAAACTTAGGCCAATCAAGTCCTAAAAGATAAAACAAGTCACACAAAATCTTTTTCATACACACACACACACATATATTATATATATATTATATATATGTATACACATACACACAATAAAATTGGGATCATGATATTTTGTCTTCGCTAGAAATTTCGTCTGATTGCTCTGTGCTTTCTGTCACCTCCACGAAATGTTCATATTTGATGTCTTTACCAGAATGTCTCCAAATTATGCTGAAAGAAAAACAACAAAAAAACAAAGATAAGTTTATACAGCAAATTCATTTCAAAGTATTTCTTGGCTTTCAATAGAAAAGAAAAACAGGAAGGCTGAAACATCTTAAATTATGTCTTCATTAATTTCTACCTGCCTTTCTGCGATGAGGAGTTATTATTTACATTTGGACTAATATCCTCATTTTTGTTGTTATTATCATTTGATCATTGTACCCTTCTTCAGATGTCTGACAATTTAGGTAACCTTCATGAAATTTCTAGCTTCAGGACTGTCCCACAAGACAATGGCCTAGTGGATTAAAGCACTGATTCCTGAATTTGATGGCATAGTAATTGTGAGTGCAATCTTTGAGCCGAGTAGTACAGACTCAGTGGAAATAAGCAATATCTGAACAGGACTAGAAATGTATAAGATGAGAGATCCCTAGATATGGGCAGTGAAACAAGAACAATCTATCTCCATAGATTAAATAAAGAGTTCAGTATGAAACTTATCAAATTTTACCTGTATCAACAGACACTTGAAGGTGGTCAGAGAGCACAATAGCACGAACACATTGCGATAATAACAACAAAGATGAAGACATTAGTAAAAATGTAAATAATGTTTTCCTTTGAACATTTTATTTCAGCAACAAGAAGAATTCAACACAGATCTGGAGTTCAAACAAAATCACCAGAAACACCCAAAGAATTATACCTTTTAAAACTCAAAACAATATATAAAACATGTTGAATGATATGACTTTTCAAATATGTGCCTCAAGTACTTTCTGAGGATTACTGAGTAAAAATACATTTAGTGTAAATGTATCCAAGAAAACATTTACTGTTTATTCAACTTAGAAGAATGCAGTTTTAATAATTTATTTTAATTAAAAAAAATATTACCACATTTGAAAATATACAACACAAGATTTTATATTAAACACTCACTTGCTAACTTGTATTTATGTCGTATTTATATATCAATACAAGTCATATTTATATGTCGATACAAGTCATATTTATATGTCAATACAAGTCATATTTATATGTCAATACAAGTCATATTTATATGTCAATACAAGTCATATTTATATGTCAATACAAGTCATATTTATATGTCAATACAAGTCAACAACTGAATGAGTGAGTGAATAAAATCTTGTTTTCTTTTCATGCTGTATCATTCTCTTCAGGACAAAGGCAAACATGACAATTCACAACTTCCTATCCTAGAGTTACTGGATAGGAAGTTGTGAATTGTCATGCTTGATTTGTGAATTGCAATGCTTGACTCTTTACCATCCCAGCTCTGCCAACCATTGACACAAACATGTCAGGTAGGTAACTTGATGTTATTCTCTGTCCCACCTACCTCCAATATGTCCTGTGGGTATTAAATTCTTTGAACCCTCTTTCATTAATACATATCCCAGAAATTTAATTTATCTCTTATTTATTGTAACTATAAACTTCCTTGTTCCTATTTTCCTTAAGATTTCCTTGTTGCTCATATGTTCAATCCATTCTCACCATCCTTCTGTAAAACCTCATCTCTGTTACTTCAAGTCTCGTTGACATATGTGAGAAAAATGTCCGACATCCACTGCCATATAGGAGATGCAATTCAGCACTCTTCTTTGTTTCTAGTGATATTAAAAAGCCAATATCAAGTGTCATTTCATTTTCATTTCAACGCATTTGGAAAAGAATGAAGCCATGTTGCTCTCTCCAAGCCATTCCATGAAAAGCCATTCAACAATATATCCCAATCAGTGATAGCATTTCACATATAATAAAGAAAAGGAATCTGTGGAGAACCATGATCGCTTAGATTGTGAAAGAACATGGCATTAGCAATTCACACATAAAGAAAAGGAATCTGCGGAGAGCCATGATTACCAACATCCTAAAGAGACATGACATTGGCAATTCACAGATAATAAAGAAAAAGAATCTGTGGAGAGGCATGATCGCTTACATTGTGAAGGAACATGGCATTGGCAATTCACACAAAGAAAAGGAATCCATGGAGAGTCATGATCACCTACATCCTGAAGGGACATGGCATTGGCAATTCACAGATAATAAAGAAAAGGAATCTGTGGAGAGCCATGATCACCTACATCCTGAAGGGAGATGGCATTGGCAATTCACAGATAATAAAGAAAAGGAATCTTTGTTTTAAAAGAATGTTTCAGGAAAACAGATTTTTCAAGTCCATTAGTTGTTATTGCTCTTTCCAGTATCGATGGCGCCAGGGGTGGGGTGGGGTGGGGACTTCCTAACCTTTTATTTGAAACAATGTGAAATCTTGATTGTATCAATATTTTTTCTTCAAGAAATATGTGATATCCATTTTAGTTGTTACCGCTGTTGAAAGTCCTCAAGTGATGTGGTATCTGTTATTTGGTATAGTTCTTTGTATGTGAATCCGTCGCACCAATCCACAATACTCATAGCCTTTTTTCACCATTGGTCTCAGGAAGCAGTTGTTTCCAGCTGACAATTTAGATATTTCTGGACAGGTTTCATGGTAGTCTAATTTAAATGGGTGAAAAGTGAAGACTATAAATAGTCTCCCTTAGACAAGCACAGGATCGTTGTCCATATTCACTTTATGTGACTATTTACTTGTGTATCTTCTTCTTAGCATGTGAACATCCAATGTGTGTTGATAGTGGCAGATATGACACCCTTGAGAAATCATATCTCTTTTCAGTTCAGTATCACCTAAAGGTATTTGCACATAAATGGATGTAACAAGGTCAGGCTTAGAACTTTTTGAATGTCTCTTGTAAGCATCAGCAGACAAAATGCATCATGGTTAAGGGGGACCCTATTGAAAAATAGTCAAAATTGTCTTGTTTTTCCAACTCTTTCGGGGTAAAGCTTAGAATTTTTTGAATGACCCTCATATACACAAGTTTGCATGATAGATTATCCAGAAATTATCTAGTTCTCTGTCATAACGACAGTCATCAAGCTGCGCCCCTAATCTACCCATCTTGGTACAATGAGAGAATGATGATTGGTTTCAGGTGTTATTGTCTTCCAGTCCCAAAGAGACAGAAGGAACAATATTTAGAAGAGCTGTTACTTTATCAATATGGCCTTGTGCCAGACTAAGTTTAGTACACCGAGTTAATTTGTCATTTCAATTACTTACAAAACCAGTATAACTCCAATAAACGCAATTCCAGCTGAAACATAAAACGAGATTCCAGGGTTGATGTCAACCGTTGCTGCATAGAGGGTATTGAATGTGAGTGAAGCCAACACAGAAATAATGCTCTCACTGGAAGCTACAATTGCAAATAGCTGACCTGAAAATCAAAAAAAGAAAATGGCTCACAAGTTTGTTGAATGTTGAGAAGAAATTTTGACAGAAATTAATTCAAAGTTTAAATTTACAGATTAACACTTTGGTCGAGTCATAAAAAAAAAATGTGAAAATAATATTTTCATGATTAAAATGATTTAAGAATTTTATTTTTTTTTTTTTTTAAATAAATACGTTTTTGTTGTATTTCAATCCAGAACATGAAATATTTGTACAGAAAAAAAAAATTTTGTTCAAAATATCTGAAGTGATAAGTCTTTTAATTATTATAATTTTTTATGACAATTCCTCTGCTAGTTTTAAATTTTCATTTTTTTTTTATTCCAAAGATGCTAGAAGGAGAGAAAAAAAGATTACTGTGAATAAAAAAAAAATTAGATATGAGGAGAACTGGATGGTGCACTGGTTGAATCACTGTTAAAAGAGTGCCTTGATTGCAAGGTCATCTTTGCACTCTGGCTCTTACATTTCCCTCTTCTTGGCAGAACTTCTATTACCACAGTGTGCGACATCTATTATAAAAGTGATGGAAACAAAAAGAATCTAAAGGAAATTGGCTAGATCTGTCTATATTTCTGAGATGAGGTATTGTATTTATTTACATTGTTCAGACTGTTGTCCTCATCTTTATTGCCATATTCACCACATTTTGGCCATTGTATGCTCCAGCCTTCTTCAGGTAATTGAAATTGAATGAATACAATATGAGAACCAGTAATACGGTGTGCTAGAGAAAAGCAATAATAACAACAAAATTGCAATATGAGCTCTGGTAAAAAATGTTCCAAAAATTCATACACTGACGTCCTCAAGGACGCATGACCCAGTGGATAAAAGTGTTAGTTGGATCCAATGACTTGAGTCAAAGAGTTATGAGTTCAATACCTGGCTACTGCAGGGTTGAACAAAACATTGGTGAGTGGAGTTAAAAGATATCCGGAAGTGGCATGGCACATGTAACAATCTACCCAGGTGGCCAAAATAAAGAGGAAGAAGGGTCGAGTGTACAACAGTTGAAATGTTGTGAATATGGCAATGAAGATGAGGACAACAATCTGAACAATGAAGTCAGCTAGATTATATAAATTGAAAATTTACAGCATCGCTTGTTTGCATGTGTAGTCGAACTAACATAACAAATGAAGTCCTAAAGGACAAAATCCATCATTCAAAAACTTTTTTTCCATTCATTTTCCTCCCCCACTGTGTTAAAAATAGTATGGTCCTGATAATTGCTCGAGTAATTATTATGTAAGAAGTATGGGTTACCTCCCTTCAAAAAACACTGACAGTTATCCAACAACAGCAATTGCAAAAATATATTTTAGTAACTCTCTTAAAAAAAAAAAAAAAAAAAAAAAAAAAAAATGACAGTAAAATATTAATTTTCAAATTATATTTTGCTGCTTCTGGCTCAGTTGGTTTAAAATCTCTTTCAAATGTTTGTTTCTCAGGAAATTAATTTCAACGAAAAGCAACAAAAACAAACCCTGACATACAAAACCAAAAAATTGAACACCAGTTTTGATGCAAAATTCAATTATTTGCTTTGGAAATCAAAGCATTTTGGAATAAATGAGTGGAGGTCTTGTTCAAACATGATACATGACAAGTGTTGAATCTGTTTAACAGGAAAATTCTTTCTGCCTGAATTTCTAAAATGAGGAGTTATCATTACTTACATTATTTATATTCGGACTATTATCCTCATCTTTGTTGTTCTTATCACATTTTGGTCATTGTATCCTCCAGAAATCCTCAGACATATATAGATCTGGTTAACCTACAGGGAATTCTGAACTGAACCCTTTATTTAATCTCCAGGAGTAGCCTGTTCCCATTCCACTGCCCATGTCTAGGGATATCTTGTCCAGTTCTTATTTTTATTTAGTACTTCTCAGTTATTCGTTGCTTGTTTCCATTGAGTCCAAGTATACACTGCCTGATCTAGGGATTGAACTCACAATCACTATGTCACCAAATTCAAAATCCAACACTTTAATCCTCTAGGTTATTGTCTGTTAGGGTCATTGTACTCATCTTTGTTGTTGTTATCGCAATGTTTCGTCTTTTGTACACTATGGCCTTCATCAGATGCATGTCAATCAAGATTGTTTTCATTCCATTATCCATGTCTAGGTAATTATTTTTGTTATTTTTTTTACTATTGCTCACCTATTACAAGGCCCATCAACCACTCAAGGTAGAATTAGTTTATAAGGTTATGTAGGAGAGATAATGGTTAACCTTAGACTTGAAGAGGTTAAGATTGTAGTCCTCTTGAGAGTCTATTCTACAAAGTAGTGGTTCTAGGTATATTTCTTCTTTGTTCTTATTTAGTACTAGTCAGTTACTACAGATCATCCTGTTTCCATTAAGTCTAAGTCAACATTAGCTGGACCAAGTATTGAATTCCCAATCACTATTTTACCAAATTTATGATTGTCACATGGACCACTAGACTAGTGGCCCATGGGACAATCCTGAGTCTAGAACTTGGAGCCTTAAACTTGTTGTTGCTGCTACTGTTTTAAGCATTGCTGTCATATCTCTTTCTTTATTTGCAACCCAAGAGACCAAGTACTTTGTGGCCCTCATTATTGTATCAACATTTGCTTTTTTTCTACCTTCATTTATATCACAAATTAAACTAAGCACAACTATGAAAGAATGAAATTTTTTTGCAGATTATGGCATCATTCTGGAGTCTTTTTTTATTTTCATCCAAATCCATGAATCTGTTTTGCTCATGCTAAGTCTTGAAAAAAAAAACACTATGTAAAATTCACTATTTTTTATCTATAATGTTGAATGTGTTAAAATTAATCAACTTTTTAAAAAGAAAAATCTCAAGTTTATGTCAAAAGTTGCCACAAACCATTGTTGATTTATTAAAGATGATATGATCTATTATGATATGTTTCTAATTTGTATTTAGATACAGTGTATTTAGTTTTAATTTTTCTAGTTGAATTGTTCACCTATATTGCATATGATCCATTATTGTACATAATTAGGTTACAATAAAACTTGTATTTATGACTACCACCTTATGAAAATTGAGATATAGTAGAGAGATGACCGATATAGATTCAGCCCTGAATAAAAAATTCAGTTCCAAACTCCTTGAAGGTTACCCACAGTGACAGGTGTCTGATGAAGGTTACCCATAGTGACAGATGTCTGATGAAGGTTACCCATAGTGACAGGTGTCTGATGAAGGTTAGAGGAGACAATGGTCAAAATGTTGTGATAACAACAACAAAAATGAGGAGAATATTTCAAGTGTTTTTTTTTTTGCTACACTGAAAACGGACACATGCCAACTTACCCCGACCCTTGAAGAGGTGCTGAAAAATTCTCAGCCTGACTTCTGAATATTTGACTAAATATAGGATTTAAATTTTTTTTTTTTTTGGTGGAGGAATCATTCTTGACTAGTCTGAGAATTTTTTCAGCACCCCCTCATACATTAGGACTGCCTTATATCAATCTCATATTAGTAATTTCATTCAGTTGATGTACTTTCTTATTCTGGTTTCAGAAGTAGTTTTGTTCATGCTTTCTTCTCTTGCTGTTTTTACTGCAACAACAGAAACAGATCAACTGGTTGTAACAAAAATAAAAATAAATCCTTTTCTTTTCTTTCTTTCTTTCCATCTTCACTTCATTTGTCTTCAATATTCATCTCAATTGTACACCTGCTGAGAAAATCGAATAATGAACACCTTTCACTTTCTCCTCTTTATACACCATTACCACTTCCCATAATTCTTTTGTTCATACCTCCACATACCACCAAAGTCTCAAATATTTTTCCGCGAATCAAGTGCCCCAACAAGAACACACTTTTCTTTATACAATGATTCAGACTGCATTTGTCAAATCATTACAGACCTGAAAATTATATTGCTAATAAATTAGGCAGTATAGATTGGTTTTCATTAAAACTTAATGCAAATTACAAAGTAAAAGAAATAAGTGCAGTTGGAAAGGTTACATTAATTTTTCAATAAAAATTAGACAAACATTTTTTAGCTTGCATTATTTACATTATTCAGTCTGTTATCCTCATCTTCATTGCCATATTCACAACGTTTCAGCCAGTGTACACTCTGGCCTTCTTCTGGTGACTGGAATTTCAAACTGAACCTTTTATCTTGTCCACCGGGGTAGATTGTTCTAGTTCCACATGCCATGCCTTTTCCAGATGTCTCAGTTATTTTCCTCTAACTCAACTCTCCAAGAGTTTTTGGTTCACCAGTGCTGTGGTCTGGTATTGAACTCCCAACTGTTTGGGTCTAGTCACTGGATCTAACCAACGTCTTTATCCAATGGGCTATGTGGTCCTTGAGGATAAAGAAGGCTGGTGCATACAACAACTGAAATGTTATGAATATGGCAATGAAGATGCAGATAACAGTCCAAATAATGAAAATAAAGCAAGTAATCATAATACCTCATCTCAGAGCTATAGACAGATATTCTTTAGCTATAATCACAAAAAGAGACCTAGTTTGTAACAGAAGACTGACATAGAAAAAAAGTTGCATGGCACTGATTTATTTTCTTTAGGTAGAAAAAAAAAAAAAGAAGTTTTTTTTTACCTTGTTCTGCATTTTCAACAATAGAAGATAGCAAGGATCTGACAACAGCAGAAGGGAAACCTTGAAATATTTTCACAAAGGGAACTGAAATTGAATTTCTAAGCATTAAATATAGAAAATAATTATCTTCAAGAGAAAAAAAAACAATTTTTTCAATTTTGTGAATTTTGGAAATAATAACCATCAGGTTAAAATTATATATATATATATGTAAATGAATATAAAATATCACACATTGAGTGGTGGTGAAATAAGATGTGGTACTCAATGTATAACAATTTTCAATCAGCAACAGACAATTATGTTGTGTGGAAAAAAATGTATATTCATTATTAATTATTTATTAGAACTTTAAAATATATATATTATATACATACATTTTATATATATATATATATATATATATATATATAGAATAGGTTTGGTTAAATAATTTAGAGATATGTCAATTAGTTTTTGTTGTGATCCTTTTTAATCCCCTGAAGATGGTCTCAGATGAAATTGAAAGTATTTGGGAAAATAAAAACTATTTGAAAAAAAATTTTTGTATTTTTCTTAATCAATTTTCTAAGGCTACCAAGAAATTACTCCACAAACTTGAAAGGATCACAACATGAACTAATCGCCATGACATGTCTAAGTTATTTAACCAAACCTGTTTGAATGAAAAAAAAAAAAAAAAAAAAAAAATATGTATACACACACACTGGGTGTAACAGCAGACTTGCCCAAATCATGTAACAGCATAATTGTCCATCCAAAAAAAAAAAAAAAAAAAAGTATTTAATATCTAAAAAAACACTAAACTAAGTGAGTTTCTTTTTTCAAGTTTTCAGATAAGACTTTTAACCATCTTCATACCATTTGTTATAAGAATCACTGAAAAATCCTTTGAGTTATTCAGCAAAAAAGAAAATAGGATAAAATCATTTTGCGTTAGCCCCACTGTTTTCCCAACTGAGAAATGATGAGAGGAAAAAGATCATTCAGGCGTTCAGTAATGGTACCAACATTCATGTTCTGGCTTCCATCTTCAAAGTCCATTCAAGATCATCAAAAGAACAGTGAATAAGTTTAAAAAAGAGGAAACAGAAGAGAGGGAAAGTGGATCAGGAAGTCACAACAGCAAGAGGGATCATCATTTCAACTTAGAGAT